ATTATAGGCAGATGTTCATATAGAGAGTTATCTGAAATCACAATGTATGTGTGTCTTAATTAAAAATCATATACAGAATACAGTACATACACAACAAAGGATAAGGTATCTGATTTACTTTAGTATCACCCTTAATATGAAAACAAAATTAAGACTAGTGAAAGAACATACACATATTTTAAATCTTATCAGAATTTTTCATGGTAGGATTGATGTGGACACTCTAATATTATTTAATCTGGTGAGAATTTGGTCTTACTACCTTTCCCACAGTGATGCACTTTCTGTAGACTTTCATTTGATGCCCCAAAATGATAATGGCAACATTTATAGACTATTAACTTTGGGCTGGGCAGTATGTTGAGTTTTAAAATACATCATCTTAATCTTCAGAGAGCTCTTTGAGATAGGAATTATTGTCATGACATTAGAGATGAAGAAATTGAAGTTTAAGGAGATTAAGGAACTCACCCACATCACACAGCTGGAGAGGAAGAGCGCTGCTCTTGTGCACCAATCCTCTGGCTCGGAAGCCTAGATGTTGAGCCATTAAGCAGTTCTCTTTCTTGCTAATACTTCACAGTCAACCATACCTGTCTCACCGATGGTTTCTTCCTTCTTCTCAAGCAGAGAAAATGTCAAAAATGTAAACTTGCAACTCATAAGATGTTGTGAGTTTGGATTTTTAGTATAAATCTCTACAATCCAGAAAACCATACACAGGACCCCCACTCTCAGGGAACAAAAAGGAAAAAGATAAAGTTGTGATCTCAAATATGCTACATAATAAAGGTTTATTTGAAGTTATTCTCCAAAAATATCTCTTTCTTTTTATCAGTGGTGCAATCATCACTATGGAAATCACATTCATAATAAATGTATTGTTTGACCACTTTCCCAGGTTCATATTGATTTTCTTTTTTTTTAATTTAAAAAATAAAAGAAGGAAAACATGTTAACAAACAGACATCCATTTACAAAATAGCATAGGAGCAATACAAAGAATACAGAGTAACAGACAAATTTGTAGGAAATTAACCATGGTTGTTGTATTACTTACTGATATCTTCAAAATGGTTTCTCAGGAAAACAAATAGAGACATACAAGATTGATCAAAGAAGTAATCATTAACCGTTCTTTTCAGTAAAGCAATAGAAGACAGTAGTACAACTATGTTAGCTGTCCTGTATATACATATTTACATAACTTTCCCTTCTTTCTCTTCTCTTTTCCAACACCCCAGTTGCCCTTTTCTTTTTAGCATTTTCCTTTCATTTCACAATGTCTATCATACCTCCTAGATTTTATTCATTCTTTCAGATCTTACACTAGTGAGACAATTCCGATGCTTACACATGCAGGTCTAATTTAT